CAAATTATCACTAAAAGCTCACAACCCTAACACTAACCCTAACGCTAACCCTAACGTCCTAATCCTAAACTTTCTTGGTTTATTTACAAATGCAAATAAGTAAATTGCTGTGTCTGGTCGTATGTTATAAAATGATTCTACACATCTCTATTGGATTTGTTTATGACAATCCGAAGAGGTAGATATGCTAATGGTACAGCACAAGTTGGACATTATAGTCTAAACGGAAGAGGGTTAAAAAAAAGATGAATACTGTATAAGGTGTATATATATTTTAGATCCTGTTATGGAAATGTTAAAAAGGATGCTGATTGGTACGTAGAACTAAGCGAGAATTTAGGTTTATATTTTTGCAACTTGGTTGGGTCCATGAAAAAAATTGTATAAAAGTAAATCATCATGCATTTTTTGTGCACCTGATTCTAAAATAAATTATAATTAATACATATTAAACTTAATATGCGCACATACTTTGGACATCTCATCTTTGCATCTATTTTCCGCTTTTCTGCAAATCTTAATTGCCACAAGTATGTCTACTTTTTTGTATTCGTAAAGAAGAATGTGCATAATTCAAAACGTAAAGTTCGGTATCAGATGTTAATATAACCGGATTAAAAACTGGATATCCGTTTACAAATTCGGATAAAGAAAATTAAAAACGAGATATCTAACCGGACAAAGAAGATTAAACAGGATATTTATCCGGATATCCGGTTAGATATCTGGATTCGCTGTAATTGTATATACATTATTATATATATCGATATGAACAAAGATTAATCTATATCGATATAGTAATAGATCGAAGATGCATATAATGTAAATTTTTTTTTTTTTATTTGCCATCATTTCAAGTAATTATTTTTAAAATTACTCATATTGATTTTATTTGATTTTATTTATTTGCTATGAACTAATCAATTCTTCAAACTTCGCACATTACAAATATATACAGTATTATATGTAGTATTTATTTAAATAAATAACAGTCTGTCTTTGTTGAGAGGCGGTACAGTAGTTATATAAAGCAACTATATTACGATAAATTCAGGCATTGTTCGCGCTGTTTGGGTGATATTGTCACAATATTATGCAATGTATGACATGTACTCCAGTGAATGTGCATAGATTTTCATTTTATGACAGAACAATGCAGATTACAAAGAACGGATCAAAAACTTGATCTAATATATCCATTATTCATCCTGCTGTGTTATATGCACGTCAAGCCTTGACTCGTTGATAATGACAATTAAGTATTGATATTGTTAAAAAAACTCATTCAAGTACTGCAAAAACCCCATACCCCATATTACGCTACGATAGTTCATTGAACAAGTGAGAATTCCAAATTCCGATTGGTTCAGTGATTAATGCAAATAATTCATAAAAAATAAGTTGATAGGATTGATAGGAATTGAGAATTCTGAAATTGGTAAAAATTGAAAACGCATATAAAGTATTTTATTTATTTATTTTATTTTATGTTGCTATGAACCAATAAGTCCTCGCCTTAAACTTTACATGTTATAATATTAGTGTTTAAATAAATAACAGTTTTTTTGTTAAGTGAGAGGCAGATATACATATAGGCGGGTTATAATTATAATAAATTTAATCAACGTTCGCGCTATTTGAATGACACTAATGCAGTATTACACAATGCTATATATTATTTGCGATCGAAAACATCGCGAACAAAGCGAGAATTCCGATTGGCTCTGTGTCAACGTGAAAATGCATATAATGTACATAAATAAGGTTTTTTTAATACCATTTTAAGTGATGACATGTATTACACATTGTTCAGAATGTATTACGCACAATGTTTGTGGGGCGCTCCAAAAATTTGCATACTGTATTAAAAGATGCTCAAATTCGAAATGAACTTTATTCAAATTACAAAGAATGGAGTATGCATTATATGCAGAAAAGAAAAACTTTGATGAAGGGGTTGACATTTTGATAATTCATTCAAACTGCACTGTAGCTCTATTAATAAATAAAAGTATTATATAATAATATTTTTACAATCCCGATTGGAGATATTTCTTAGAAACTTCTTCTCAAAAGAGGTTAGACATATTTTTCTTTTATTTATTGAATATTTAAAACGTTTAAAATTTTCAACAGTGTATTTACCGTTATGTATGCTATGGCTTAAGCTTTACAATCCCCCCAAACACAATGCTATTACATAACAAAGAATTTTTTCCAACCCAACATTTTTTTTTATTGTTTAAAGCAACATTTTTTTTTATTGTTAAAGTAACTTTTTTTTATTTTTAAACTAACATATTTTTTTTTATTGTTAAAGTAACATTTTTTTTATTGTCAAAGGCTCGGAAGTTAAAAATCCATTTTGCTTACATAAATTATCCGATAGTCTGGCTATTGTAAAGAGTCACACAATAGTCATAATGACAGCTATACATTACAAAAGATAATCCCAAGAAATACAATGCATCTGAAGTATCCTTTCACAAAAAAGATATATATTATTTATTAAATACAATAAGATGATCGTTCCAAATGCCGTAAAAGGATCATTTCAGGCGCTTACTAAAAAAAAAAAAAAAAAAAAAAAAAAAAAATTGTGAAAGACAACAAAAAAGTATTGCTAATCAAGCATTTATGCGCCTATTGATCAAATGATATATGTCGATACATACGATATTCTTGTTGATATTTTTTAGGTAAATGAACCTTTTATTTTTCGTACGTGCGTTGTGATACATAATTATATAATATCACTATAATTATGTATCACTACGAAAAATAAATGGTTCATTTAATTAAAAAACATCAACAAGATATCGTATATATCGACATTACAGGGTTGGCACGGACTGGTAGATGGTCAAGCTTGACCAGTTGGTCAAAGGGTTTAGTATCATGTCTTCAAGTAAAAAGGCTTACAAGTAATTTTGTCTAGTATTATCATATTATAAATTACGCTGGGTTGAGTGAGTCTTATTAGACCAGTCTGACCAACGAATTTTTGGTCAAACCAGCCAACCTGAGTGATATAGTAATATAACACTCGTTTAAAAGAAAATTTTTCAAAGAATCAATGATAAAAATAAAATTCATAGGGAAAAGATTGCTTCATTTTTTTATTTTTTTTGTCTGTTTTAGACGTATTTGGTAAATAATTACATTGACTTTGATAATGTAGATTTCTTCTATAATGGCATTTTTTTGCACGCATAGGGAAAGAAAAGATTTCTCTTAAAAGCAACATAAGGAAAAAAAAGTTCAAGAAACTTCATATTAATCTTATTAATCTTGTGGATAAAAGGTTACCAATCATCCTGAAACCCAACACCGATACAGCAATAGTCTGTTTATATCAAGTGTTTCGAAAGAAGAGGGAAGTGTAGATAGAATGGAAATATCAACAGAAGAGAAGTGTGGTGGAAGGACACAAAATGATTGAATATGATTGATGATAAGGGCAGCGAAAATAAAGGTTGTGGATGTTGAATAGTGAGAGAACTATTAGTTATAATATATTATATAAACAAAAGTAAAATACATAGTTGTTGAAGTTTTAAATTAAAGTTCACTGCTACGGCATATGAAAATATGAAAAAATTAGAGATAATAAAAAAATAGTTGGCTTTTTTTTTTTTTTTTTTTGAAATGTTCATCAAAAAGTTTTTGCTTGTCAAAAGGGTGATTCCGATCCCGAATAAATAAAGGTCGAAAATTGAGGAGCTTGATTTTCTGTTTCTTGTTTTCTAGTGTTGAACAAATCTGTTGTACCTTTAGTCAAATTTTCATATTTTTGTTCAGCACTAAGATTATCGTAAGGTGAATTTACAGGAATATCGACATTTTGAGGTACTTGAAGTGGTTGACCTCTAACTGCTCGATTTATAGGACGATTCATAATAACGATAAGCTTTTTCTAAGCTTTTTTTTTTTGCCTTAAGAAAAAAGAAAAAAAAACGGAAAATGAAGTGAAAATTTAGAGGTTTTTATTCTAACAGCGACGAAACGATTACAATAAATATATATATACCGCAGCTAAAACTTTCATGTAAATAATGTGGGCCCCATAATATTTCCTTTTTTTTGACATACATAAAAAATAATCAATATACTACTGTATTTAAAAATCGATTGATTCATAGTATACGAAGTTTTAATGTATGTAATGCTATATTATAATTATTATGTTGTTATCATACCGAATTTTTTAGATGCACTAAAAAAAATCTCGACAAAAAATATAAATAATGACGCGAAAGGAGGATCCATTTTAGTTTAGAAGTTGTTCTGAAACTTATTCGGGTGCATATTTTAAGTTTAGACGTACTTTCGCGCCAAATTTCCTAAGAAAGTTGAAAGTTGACATTTCACCCCACAAAAAAATGAAGACTTCTTTCTTATATAAATTTTTTTTATTGTACAATAGTAAGTTAAAGTTTTTTTCTACAGAACCTATTGTGACAATTCACAACATATTAGTCAAATCGGGAAGATGTTGATAGATACCCTTGTTGCATTTACATCTTAGTTAATAGTAAAAAAAAAAAAATTTAAAATATTGAGAATATTTTATGAATTAAATACTAAAATTAAATATATTGACTGTAGTGTTGCATTATTAATTTTTTTTAATTTTTTTGAAGAAAAAAAAATTTTAAACGTGTACCATTAGGAAACCCGGAGCAAATTTGATTCATAAATTAGCAGGTACGAGTATGCAATATTTTTTTTGATAATCATTGTTAAATGCATGTTTGTTAACATCAAACCAGAACTTTTGTATCACTTTGCATAGAAATTGAGACTTTCGCGACGCATCGGATGGAGGAAAATATCGAGAATTCTCCGATCAATAAAATATCATATAATGTTATATTACATGTATAAGGACGGAGAATTTGCATTTTTTAAACATGCCCCAAAAATTGTCTCAATTCAAATGGAAATCTCCGGCATTAACCACTCAGGTTTTACCCTGTTCTATAATTTTTGTTATAAAAATCATATTATATAATATATATAATATTATTTATGCAACTACATTTTCTACGTACGTACGTATACGTACTGTACATAAATATATAAATATATTTTTGAAAAGAAATATACGTAGTGTACGTTAACGTGCGTACGTACGTGCAGTATTGGAAATTATTTTGCAAAACATTACCATTTAAAAATTAATTGAAAAATATATTATATAATTTATTGTTTCAAACGCCAATCTCTATTTATAAAAAAAAAAAAATTCTTTTAACCACATTTATCTGAAAGTCTTTCTATATTTTTTTTTAAGAAAAATTTTTTTTTTCCTAAACGCTTTGTAACTACATAACAGATAAGTTATTATATATAGGGAATTGGGTTGAATTGTATCATACGTTCAGTTTAATATGAAATAATAATAATTACAGAATTGGAATAATTCAAAAAGTTTAACCAAATTTGGACTTAGAAATTATCTAAAAAAAAAAAAATTATACATAAGTTATCGTCGTAATATGTGCATGACAATCCCATCTACGTAACACAATTAATTAGGGTTTCGCGGGCTATCCATGGAGCATCCATAGATTGGTAGATTATGCCCATGGATAATTGAGTCCAGATCCAAAACCCATAGATAGTCCATAGTTAATCTGATTGGCCAAATCATCGATCATTGTCATATCCAAACTTAATTTAGAAGATAAGCTGTGCTATTTGGATCCATGGATTGTAACATGTGGTCATGGACCTATCCAATTAAATATGGAACTTTGATGTGAAACCCTAAAATTATTGCTAGGAAAATCACCCTTCGGGATTTTCCGATCGCGCTAATTCGGAAAAGCTTAGACCAGAATGCCGGTTCTTACTCATATGTAAACCATTTTTTACTTTACTGATTCGACAGTTTATTTAATAAACTAACGAATAAATAAAGCAAAAGTAGGCATTCTGGTCTAAGCTTTTTCGAATTAGTCCGATCGGAAAACCCCGAAGGGTGATTTTTTAGCGTACCCCTAAAAAAAGTTACGTAACTGAGCTTAAATTTTCTCCGAA